AAAAAAAACAGGTAAATATTTGTTTAATTCTGAATTTTTAAATACATTTTTTGAGTTTCCTATTTTTTTATATTTCATTGTCTTGATTTTTTTTTTCTATTTTAAATGTATCGTATAAAAATTTGATTAAAATATAAAAAAAATTACTAAAAATACAAAAATATTAAGAACAAAAAATTCAAAAACTCAAAAATTGTATTTGAAAACTCAAAATCCAAAAAGACTTGTTTTGGAAATGACATGTTTCTCCGTTTGTTTGGGTATAAAATATTTTTCGTATTTTCAGTCGTTTGGTATAACGGAAAACAAAACTTAATGGAAAACATTTTTTTATGATCAATGGAAAACAAGCTTATTTGGGAGGAAATTTTTTTTCACTTTTAAAAGACGAAAAATTTATTAGTGCCATTACATTACCACCACTACCATCGTCTCTTCTACCACCATGGCCACAACCACCGTCGCCGCCGCCGCTGCCACTACTATCTCTACCTCATTATTACGATTACTACTATCACCACCATCATACCTCTATTACCGCCACCGCCACCCCTATTGCCGCTCCATGGCCACCGCCGCCACCGCTGCCGTCGCCACCACCACTACTTTCACTTCTAGCTTGCTGCCGCCACTACCACCGCCAGTAATGCAACCATTAGTACATTAAGAGAGAGAAACATATGCGTTGACCAAGAAATTTTAGCAAAATCAACAGTTTGTTTAGTGGTAAGAGTGGAGGTAAAGGTGGATGATGATGGTGGTGGGGATGGAGACAAAGGTAGAAGCTATTGCTGCTACTGTCATTGTAAAGCCTCTGTATTGACCATACCCTATTGAACCTCTCAAGAGATGGAACCCTTTGTCCACCAACATCCATAACTACTATAACCCAAATCACACACCGTTACCTAACACCGCTGACAATTGTTTCAACACCAATTACTGTGAAATCCTCTTCTTCCATCATGAACCACAAAGCCCTTTCTTCCATCGACAATTTTGAATCACATAAGAAATGGTTAAATAAATTTGGCTCGGTTCGCCTCGAGATGAGCTCGAGCTCGAATATTAGGCTTATTTAGTAAATAAACCGAATTTGAGCTCAAATAAATTTGGCTTGTTTACCTTTATTTAAATTATATAATAAATATATTATTTATATATTAAATAATATAAATAATATTAAAAAAAATCTTATCGAGCTGAGTTGAGCTTGAGCTCGATCTCAATAAACGAGCAATCAAACTCGAACTTAGCAAAGTTTGACTCGGCTCATTTGCAACCCTAGTTATAGATAGGAGGCAGTGATGATTTGGCAATAGAATCATGCTCCATTGTAGAGGGCGGGATGAGGCTCTATAGGATATGTAAATGTTAGCCACCTATAATGGATGGGGAGTAGAAGGAAAATGATGGAAGATAAAGGTTGATTTAGGAGAAGAGAATGAAGAGAACGGAGTGGTGAGGAAAAGAAAAATGGGGGTTAAAAATGGTATTTTGTGAAGTTTAGTTGCCGACATAAAAAAAATAAAAAAAAAGGGTCTTAAACTGGCTTAACGGCTCACTAATGGGATGGATATTTTGCAATGCAATTTTAAACCTTCAGAAAGGGGAATATAATTTTTTAAATTTCAAGAGGGAAACTGTATTAGATACAAACCTCAAGCAATATCAATGTAATTTATCCAAAAAAAAAAACCTCCAAACGAGGCTACACCTCTTGAAATTTGTTTAAAATACAAGTTGTCCCTATGGTTTTAGAAATTACATATACTCCCTTGTTAGAATTTTTTATTTAACATAATTAATTAGAAAAAATAAAATTTATAACTACTCTCCTAGATAATAATAAAATTACTTGACTTATTAATTAAAATATAGTTATGATATTATTAAAAATTATTAATTGAATTCATAATTTATTAATAAAATGAGTCATCTGTTATTTGATTAGATCATATGAGACAATTTATATTTTCAGCAAATCTTTTATGGTGTATTTGTAATTTATCTATTTTTGTTTTAAGTGAGTTTTTTATTTTTATTTTTTTATGAGATGGAAAAAAAAAACAGTTAAACATTTGTTTAATTTTGAATTTTTAAAAACATTTTTTGAGTTTTCTATTTTTTTATATTTCGTTGTCTTGATTTTTTTTTTCTATTTTAAATGTATCGTATAAAAATTTGATTAAAATATTAAAAAAAATTACTAAAAATACAAAAATATTAAGAACAAAAAATTCAAAAACTCAAAAATTGTATTTGAAAACTCAAAATCCAAAAAGACTTGTTTTGGAAATGACATGTTTCTCCGTTTGTTTGGGTATAAAATATTTTTCGTATTTTCAGTTGTTTGGTATAACGGAAAACAAAACTTAATGGAAAACATTTTTTTATGATCAATGGAAAACAAGCTTATTTGGGAGGAAATTTTTTTTCACTTTTAAAAGACGAAAAATTTATTAGTGCCATTACATTACCACCACTACCATCGTCTCTTCTACCACCATGGCCACAACCACCGTCGCCGCCGCCACTGCCACTACCATCTCTACCTCATTATTACGATTACTACTATCACCACCATCATACCTCTATTACCGCCACCGCCACCCCTATTGCCGCTCCATGGCCACCACCGCCACCGCTGCCGTCGCCACCACCACTACTTTCACTTCTAGCTTGCTGCCGCCACTACCACCGCCAGTAATGCAACCATTAGTACATTAATTTCAAGAATGCAACCAAACATAAGAAAATGTTTTCTGTGGATAATATTTTCTAAAAAAAAGTCTTTTTTATAGTAAATATTTTTCGTCGAAACAAACGGAGTGTAGTTTTATTAGAAAAATGTAAATAATTGAAATATATGATTATTTTTTAGTCATCTTTAAAACTGTTTTTTAGTATTTTTTAATCTTTTAATTTTTGACCTTTTTTAATTCTAAAATCTGTTTGAGTTGGAATTTTCAAAAATAAATTTCTGAATTTTTATTCCATATATTTTTATTTTTAGTGAATTTTTAAAAACATTTTGAGTCATTTTTTTTTTTAAATTCACTTGATCTTCATATACTTAAAAAGTAAAAATTTGTGCAAATTCTTTTTAAAAATTTATTTAATACAAAAAATAACTAAACAAAAAGTACAAAAATTCAAATATTTTCATAATTTGTTGTTTTGAATGCACAACAATGCAGGGAAGTACGGCATGGTAAAAAAAAAGGGGGGGGGGGGGAATTCTTGCTTAGACTCGACGATTGTGCTTAGGGGCATTCGGTTTGGATTAGTTTGGGATGAAATTAGTTTGGATTAGTTAGTGATGAAATGAAAATCAATTCATTGTTTACGGTTCCATAAAAATTAGAACCATTAAATGTTAGGCTTAGGGACACCAAGGAAATAATCAACAAGCAATCACACATACAAATGAGACATAAATATTTACGTGATTCAGCCCAATGCCTATGTCCACGGACAGAAATGAGAATTTTTCTAAAACAGAGCAAATACAAAGCAGAATAGGAGAAACACTCTCACTCAACTCACAACTCTTTGTCTCTCAAATTTCTGATGATACAATTCACCCTCTCCCTATTATACACAAAGATGAGAGAGAGAGAGAGAGAGAGAGAGAGAGAGAGAGAGGGATAAACCCACCAAAATTTCTAGCATCTGTTGGTAAGAGTCAATAATGGCAACAATGTGACGAGAAGGGAGAGATGCTCAGCTCAGACTTCCTTTACTTGTGGTGGAAGTCGTCATACGCCACTCTTCGCTCTGCATGCATGTGAGTTGGAACTAACAATTCTCCCCCTCTATACCCACATGTATAACCGATTTCTCACTTGAAGTCCATCCCGACAATGTCTTTGCAAATTTTGAGTTTGTCTCTCGCGACCACCTTGGTAAGCATGTCAGCTAGATTCTTATTTGTATGGATTTTGATCAGTTCCAATAACTGCTTTGCCATCACTTCGTGTATCCAATGATACCGAACATCAATGTGCTTCGTGCGAGAATGGTACACAGAATTCTTGCCAAGGTTTATGGCACTCTGGCTATCACAATGTACCGTGAACTTTTCTTGCTTTAGTCCCAACTCTTGGAGAAACCACTTTAACCACAACATTTCTTTCCCAACTTTTGCTGCGGCAATATACTCTGCCTCAATTGTGGATAAAGCAACACACTTTTATAGCTTGGACTGCCAAGACACAGCTCCCCCTGCGAAAGTGAACATAAATCCTGATGTAGATTTCCTACCATCAAAATCTCCCGCCATATCAATTAGTATAGCCTTCCAAGACTAGTTTAGCATCTCTAAAGCACAAACATATTTTAGATGTACCCTTAAGGTACCTCAAAATCCACTTGACTGTTTCCCAATGCTCTTTCCCTGGATTGGAAAGGAATCTGCTTACTACTCCAATAGAATGAACAATATCTGGTTAGGTGGTCACCATTGCATACATTAAACTCCCTACAGTGGATGAGTAGGGAATAGCTTTCATCTCTTCTCTTTCTTTTGTAGAGGAGGGACAAAAATTCTTGCTCAGTTTGAAATGATTAGCCAACAAAGTACTGACTGGCTTGGCATCTTTCATGTTGAACTTTGCAAGCACGCGTTCAACATACTTCTCTTGCGACAACCACAAATTCTTGGCTTCCCTGTCACGCATAATTTTCATGCCCAAATTTGTTGTGCAGGGCCTAGATTCTTCATATCAAAGGACCGTGATAATTTTTTCTTCAATGATCTAATTGTTGTGGCATCTTGTCCAACAATCAGCATGTCATCAACATAGAGCATGAGTATGATGAAGTTTCCACTGGAAATTTCCTGATGTATACACACTGGTCTGCAACAGTTCTCTTGTACTCATGACCCACCATGAATGAGTTAAACTTCTTGTACCACTGTCTTGGCACTTGTTTGAGGCCTTAGAAACTTTTCTTCAATCTGCAGACTAAGTTTTCTTTCCCTTTGACTTCCAAACCTTCTAGCTGCTCCATGTAAATTTCTTCCTTTAGATCACCATGGAGAAATGCCATCTTTATATCCATCTGTTCAAGTTCTAAATTCAAATTGGCCACTAGTCCCAAAACTTCTCGAATGGATGTCATCTTTACAACTGGAGAAAGGATTTTATCAAAATCAATACCTTTCTTCTACTGAAAACTTTGACAACCAATTGAGCCTTATACTTGACTAGCTCTCTGCTGCCATCTTTCTTCAACTTGAACACCCACTTGTTCTTCAGTGATTTTCGACCTTGGGGAAGTTTTACCAAATCATAAGGCTGATTTTTCTACAAGGATTACATCTCTTCTTTCGTAGCTTGCTACTAAATACTTCTCCTTATGATTTTGAGCTTCTTGAAAACCTTCTAGCTCTCCCTCATCAGTAAGCAAAATATACTTAGAAGCAGGGTATTTTGACGACGACTTGGACTCTCTTGTTGATCTTCGTAACTATGGACCAACAGTCTCTGGCGGAGAGGGTTGTGGCTCCCCCTGCTCAACACCCTTTTCTTCTGGATCTTCTTTTTCTGGAAATCCATCCTGCAACTCTACATCATTGGCTGCATGCTGCAGTAGCTCTTCTTCATTAGTTGTATGCTGTGATAGTGCAAGATTCAGAACAATTTCTGAAATATCATCAACTTTGGGTTTGGCTGGTTGCCCAAAGTCTTCTGAGGTCTGGCCTTCTTGAAACACCACATCTCGGCTTCGAATGATTTTCTTGTTTTTCGGATCCCATAATATGTATCCAAACTCTTCATCTCCATAGCCAATAAAAATGCACGGAGTAACTTTATCATCCAGCTCCTGCTTGTGCTCCTTGGATACATGTGCAAATGCTTTGCACCCAAACACTCTCAAATGAGAGTAAAAAATCTCCCTTCCAGACCATACTTTTTCTGAAATCTCAAAATTCAGTGGAGCTGATGGCGATCTGTTGATCAAATAGCAAGCAACACGAACAACTTATCCCCAAAATGGCTTTGGCAGCTTTGCCATTTTGAGCATACATTTGACCTTCTCTATAATGGTTCGGTTCATTCTCTCGGCTACACCATTGTGTTGTGGGGTTCCAGGAACAGTCTTCTCATATCGGATGCCGCTAGTAGCACAGTAGGCTTCAAACTCCTTTAACGTGTACTTGCCTCTATTGTCTGTTCGGAGACACTTTAGCTTCTACCTGGTCTTCCTTTCCACCATAGCATGGAATGTCTAAAAATGCTGGAACACCTCAGCTTTGGTCTTTAGGACATAAACTCATACCTTCCGTGATGCTTCATCAATAAACGTCAAGAAGTATTTTCTGCCACCCAAAGATTCCACTTCTATGGGACTGTATACATCAAAGTATACTTTGCTTAACAACTCTGATTGTCTTCTGGATGAGGAATAGAAAGCGACTTTATGTTGCTTTCCAAATAAACAGTTGTCACAAGGGTTCAATTTCGCATCTTTGGTAAAAAGAATAAGAGACTTCTTTGCCAGAATCTCTAACCCTTTCTCACTCATGTGACCCAGCCTTTTGTGCCACAAATTTGGTGATGCCTCATCTTCTGCTGCGTTGAGGCTATCTGCATTCACCTCCACATAAGTCTTGTACAGCGTGCCACTTGTCTGTCTTCTGGCTACCACCAGAGATCCTTTTTTTAACTTCCACATGCCTTTGCCGAAGTAGTTCTCATAGTCTTGTCGATCTAAGGCTATCCTTGAGATAAGATTAAGGCGTAAATCGGAAACATGCCTGACATCTTTCAACATCATCGTGCACCTAACTTTGGTTTGGATGCGAACATCGTCGATCCCCACAATCTTCGAAAAACTGGAGTTGCCCATCTTTACTGTACCAAAATCACCAGCTTGGTACGTACTAAAGAACTCTTTACGAGGTGTGGCATGGTAAAAAGCTGCTGTGTCTACCACCCACTCGGTGTCGCTGTCTGAAATGTGGAGGCATTTTTCTTCTTCAACAGAGAATAATGCAATATCCTCTAAGACAATAACTACAGTGTTCCCATCTTCGGTCTTCGACTGTTTATTTCCTTGTTTTTGTTCTCCCTTCAAGGCATAGCAATATTTCTTTATGTAACCCTCCTAGCCACAATGGTAACACTTGAACTTTGGTCACCTCGTACCTTCTCTGGATTTCCCTCTGTCGTGAGATCTTCCTCTGCTACATGCTCTACTTTTGCTTCTTCCCCTGCCTCTGTCTCGACCTTTATTTTCTGTAACAAGTTCATGGGACTGATCTCTACCTATGTCTTTCTTTCTTGCCTATTCACTAAATAGCGCATCTGTAACCATGCTCATGGTCAGTTTTCCTTCTGGGGTAGAGTTGCTAAGGGACAACACCGTCTCCTAACTGTTTGGCAAAGAACTGAGCAGCAATAGGGCTTGCATCTCATTATCTAACTCCATTTTGACAGTTGCCAGTTGGTTTATCAATTTTTGAAACTCACTGGTGTGTTCAAAAACAGAGATACTGCCTTTTAGCTTCAAATTTACAAGTCTTCTCATTAGGAGGGCTTTGTTCCGAGCAGTCTTCAACTGGTACATGCCTTCTAACTTCGTCTAGAGAGCATAGGCATCAGTTTCCTGGGCGACATGGTGGAAGGCATTGTGATCGATCCATTGTCTGATTTGGCCAATGGTTTTTTGATTCTTCCGTTTCCAGTCTTTGTTGTTTTCTGTTGCTGGTTTGACTCCATTAAGCCCAATGGGGTTAAACAAACCTCAGCAATACAGGATATCCTCTATTCTAAGCTTCTAGATTGCACAGTTAGAAGCATTCAGCTTGATCATAGATCTCGAAGTTGATGTTGATTCCTTCATTAATAATTGTCTCTACAGAAAATGATCTCTTTCTGAAAAATCAAACTTCGCTGTTGAGTCCGGAATGATCAAATTGGCCGAAAAAACATTTCGGATTGCCAAAATGAAAACTGCAAATTTTTGAAATCTTCTTTGCAAAATTTGACCACACAGATGTGCCCGAAATATTCCAAATAGTTGGAATCCACTATTGGATCATCAAAAACAGACTCAGAATGGCTCAGATCAAGCCAAAACAGGTTGAACGGTTCAGATTGGTGAAACCTGGTGCAACTGAGAAGCACCGGATTATTTCTTCGGCTTGACTGGCGTCAAGATGACGTTAGTGGCTTGGCGCTGGCGGCGCAGCTTAGTCAGCGGCTCGGCTTGGTCAATGAGCTCGGCCTTGGTCAATAGCTCAAGCCAACGGGTCAGAGCGTGGATCGAATCGCGGGTCAACCTGATGACATCATCACCACGGGCACTTCCACTCGTCTTTTCCCTGGTTTCGCGTGTGAAGCACGTGCTCCCAGTCGCCGGTGAGTGGGAACGGTGTTAGTGGCTTGTGCGGCCTCCTCCGATCTCCGTTTTTTATGCGGTTTTTTTCTTGTGTGCTTGTTTCGTCAAGAGCTTCCACCTGGTGTGATCAAAAGTGAATTTTGACCACTTTGATTTCTGGGCAATTCTGAAAAACGCACTCTGTTTTTTCGAAAAAGACACAACTCGGCTCTAACACCATTTTCTTAGGCTTAGGGACACCAAGGAAATAATCAACAAGCAATCACACACACAAATGAGACACAAATATTTACGTGGTTCGACTCAATGCCTACGTCCACAGACAGAAATGAGAATTTTTCCAAAACAGAGCAAATACAAAATAAGAGAGGAGAAACACTCTCACTCAACTCATAACTCTCTATCTCTCAAATTTCTGATGATACAATTCACCCTTTCCCTCTCATTTCTATTTATATACAAAGATGAGAGAGAGAGAGAGAGAGAGAGAGAGAGAGACAAACCCACCAAAATTTCTATCCTCTGTTGGTGAGAGTCAACAATGTCAACAACGTGAAGAGAAAGGAAAGATGCCCGGCTCAGACTTCCTTCACTTGTGGTGGAAGTCGTCATACACCACTTTTTGCTCTGCATGCATGCGAGTCAGAACTAACATTAAAATCATGGAATCAATCTGAATCAAATCGTTTAAATGTGGTTCGATTTGATTTGGAACCACAATTTCACATAATTTGTTCACAAGAAAAATCATAAAACATTTTTAAAAAAATTCAACCTATCATAAATTATAAAAATAATAATAACATTCCCATCAAACAAACTACTCTCATCGTATTCACCAATTACGTAAAAACATAACATTAAGCAAACGTTTTTCAACATTAATCTGTCATATTTTTTGAAATATAAACATGCACATTATTCTACCATTAACTAAAACAAACATAATATCTAGTAAATAAACATATGTGGTTTAAGTTATACGATCTGGTTCAGTTAAAATCCGAAATCGTGAACTTTATTCAGGACCACCCTGCAGAGGCCGATTCTTCAATTTTTCAAACTAGGACTGAACCACAAATTAAAAAACCAAACCAAACCTACCAAATTAGTCTGGACCGGTTCAATTTGCAAATTTTGTTTCCTCGCTCAGCCCTAGTTGTGCTGCCGATAACAACCTTTTATACAAATTCAGGTCAAATTTTACTCATATCTTTTGAATTTCGTTGTTGATTGGTTCTTAATCAGCATTTTAATTTTTTTTATTTCCGTTGGAAAAAAAAAGAAGAAGTTATCTATGCCTTAATTGTATTTGATTCTGCATAGAAAATGAGACAAACCTTAATGTTAGTCTTCCCATAAACTATATAATTGGACAATTGCAAACAATTCTGCCGTAAATCATCTTGTCCCATTACTATAGTTTAAGCAAATAATTTCAAGTATGACTTTCTTTAGGCAGATAAATTATAAGTTTACTCAATTGAAACTTACTGAATCATCACCTCGAATTTCATGCCTCCTGAAAATTAAATTTTTTCTAATCATTTTATTCAACAAGAAGCCACAAAAGTCTTGAAAGTCGAAAGTAGCAGGTATAAAGTGAGTTACGTTACATGTTGGAGAGGGAAACAACAAAGCAATTGGGATGGGTTGACTACAATCTCATGTCTGAAAGAGGTATTTGGAAATTAAGGATTTTACGGATACAAAATAAATCACATAACTAATTGTAAAATACTCATTTATGTAAGCCTAATAGCAGTTGTGTCTAA